TCCCCGCCGAGGGGGGGGGGGGGGGGAGGGGGGGGTGCTCCTTCCCGCCCCCGCCGCGATTCACCGCCGCTCTTCCTCCCCGTCTGCCGGCGCTGCGGCCGCGTCCCGGCCCCGGCGGGCTCCTCGGAGCCCGGCTCTTCCCCCCACCCCGTCCCCGCGCCCCCCTCTTCCCGCCTGGGCTGAGGGAGATGCCCCGGCGCGGAGTTGGGGGTTGCGGGCGGCGGCGGGGAAGGAGCGGCTGCGGGGTCTGTGGAAAAGTTGTGTGCTTCCCGGGTGGAAGGCGAGGTGAGGGGGGTGCGAAGGGAGAGGGAGGGAGGGGAGGGAGGGACGGAGGGGGGGGGAAAAAACCACCACCCAAAACTGCTTACACGAATTTCCAAGCGCTAGACCTGCCTCCGAGATCAGCCCAATAAGAGCTGTCAGGGGAGGCTCCCAGCTCACTTTTCCACATCACTTCACAGTTACATTTGGCAGGCAGGCACGTTGGAGCGCTCAGACCCGGAATTAGTGGATTTATTTGGAATATCCCTGCTTTCCTGGAGACGTGCTGCTGCCGCTGGCTTGTGCGAAGGGAGAAATTAATAACTGCACTTTAGCATGCAGGCGCAGAAACCCGAGAAGCTAAGTAACCAGCATCTCCTCCAGCATCAGCAGCCTCAAAAAGCATGAGAAGAAAATCTGGAGAATCCTGCCTGTTCACAGGGACTGGCTAATGTTTTTTACCTCAGCCTTTCAATCCGTGCGTGAAGTGGCTGTCAGCAGGCGGTTTCCTTGGTCCTTGAAAGAGTGAGTATTCATTTTATTATTATTATTTATGTCTCGCTGGCAGAGGGCTGTCTCTCTGTAGATTTCTTTTTGACTTAGTGTCTGTGTTCTTGCAAGGTGCACTGTGCGAGTGCCTTCCTCGTTAATAGGTACGGTATTAGGCTGAACTGTAGTGGCTTATTAAGTCAGATGTTTTGAAATTCCTGATAATGAAAATGTCATGGGATGCTAGTTAGGAATTTTTTTTTATTATTCCCTTGGGAGGAGGAGCGGTGGTGGTGGTGGTGTGCCTGTTTCTCCTCCTGTTTTGTTTTTAGGGTGGGTTTGGGTGGTTTTTTTCCCCTTCTTTCCCCCTCTTAAAAGGATCAGGAGGACTTTGGATCACAGAGGGTTGCTTCCAAGGCTGGAGAACCCATTTCTTCTTCTTGTTTTCTTATTTAGTACTATAAATCTCTGGGCTATTTCACTGTGTTGAATAGATGCAGGGCTGCATTCATGCATTGAAATAGATTGCAGTTTTCGTGCTGAGAATAAAAATCACCCACCAGCCAGATATGTAAATGAGGGAGGAGGAGGCTGGAAGAACCGTGAAGGGGGGATATCCCCCTGATTTATCACCACCTTCCCTCTCCCCAAAGCTTTGCACCCCCTAGATAAATAAATACATAGGAATGGTGTGATAGCTTCCTTTCCTACTTTCGGAGAGGAAAGCATCCCACAAATACCGCTCTTCCTCTTGAAAGCGGAGATGGGAATGAATCTTTAGCCATAACTAGCCAGGAGTCATCCCTGTCCCACAAGTTGTTTTCCTTCCCTTTCTTTGGTTGACTAAACAGCTAATGCACCCAGCTGAAACTTTGGAGAGGGAGAAAAAGCCCCTTAGCTCCAGTCGCGGGTTAGGCGCATGACTGCCAAGGCTCCCAGGGAAGAAATGCAGGAGTCTGCCGACCCCTGGAGCAGGCTGTTCCACTAAACGCTTCATCTTCTCTTTGAGGAAGGCAGAGGAGTAACACGTCCTTACATTCTGCTTGGCTACACTATCTGCTGGGTAGCAGCATCCCAATCGGGAGCCCCGAGCTGTCAGACAGCATCCCTGCTAGACAGTATCAGACCTGTGTACGGTGCTTGGCTGGGGAGCCTGGGAGGCACTGCAAAGCTTCAGCACAGAAAGCCTGTGGCAGTTTCTGTGTGGATATTATAGAAGAGATTAATTCAAATCCTTATTTAGACACTGCCTACCGCCATGAAGGTGACACCAGTTAACATAGGCAGAAATTCCTTTGTGGTTCGCTGCTGTTCAGTCACGTCTTGAATCTGTCTCAATTCAAACAGTTTGCGTTTAGTACCAGACTAAATAGAGTGGAATCAATCCAACCTGGCACATAACAGCGTTACACAAACCTGCTCACGTTGCCAACAGGTATCAAACTCTATACCCTCACTTCTCTCTCCCTCCTCTTCTCTTTCAGGCAGGCACAAACACACATGCTCCGTTTCATGCAAACGATTCTTTTTTTTTTTTTTCCTCTGGAAGTAGGAATAAATACTCGTACAACTTTCGTAAAGGCTGATGCTTCTAAACAGGCACCTTGATTGCATAAACGGCTTGCCATTTGTGTCTCTGGCTGCCACAGCCAGATGTTCTTCGGGGGTGCTGATTTTAAGATATCAAATAGCATTAACTGTGTATTGTTTCAAATCTACCATGTTAGTGCTTAATAGGAGGGAAGCTAACAGCTGCTCATTTCAGTTTCAATTAAAGAATAGAGCTGATAACTACCGAAGCTATAGATAAAGAATCCTCTTAACTTTGTTCATCCTCTTTTGGAAATTCTTCAAGAGTTTCTCCTCAATAAGGATAAACAGAAATATGCAGTATTTTTGTATGAAAAATATTCCTCTTCTACATTTAATACCAGACTTATAAACAAGAGGCTTCTCAGTAAATTTAAGTAAATAACGTATACATTTGGAGGTCTGAAAAACTACCCTAGTGTACGTTTACCTGTTTTAAATACAACGATAAAGCAACTAGAAGTTAGTATTTTGCATACCTGTGAAATTACCAGCTTTCACACCCATAAAATGTGACAGCATCAAAACCTAGAAGCTCTCTGTAGTCACCTCCCAGCCTAATTGTATGAATCTTTGCAATGGAAAAACCCTGGGAAGGGAAGTGATTATGATGTGGTGTTCTAGCCTAAGGTTTTCATCTATTCAGCCTTATTGTTCTACCTTGCTGCATGCAGAATGAGCACAGATTTCTTCTAGCTTCTTCCTAGGCTTGCTATATACTAACTCTCCCTTCTTTTTTTAAAACTTCCATCCTGGCTCTAAAGAATTTTGATTTCCGTGCCTAGTTGTAAGCCGAGGGCCTTCAGTGTCCTTGGAGATTGAAGTATTTCATGCAAGTTGGTTCTTAAGTTATAGATGAGCAGTTTGTTAACTGAGCAGGCTGCTAGCCAAGAAACTAACTTTGGACATTTTCTTCTATATTAAAAAATCAATAAGAAGTACGTGTTCCTGCTTAACAAATGCAGCTGGTTTTAGTAAGAAGTACCCTCGTATAGGACATCTAATCCTTTACACCTTCCATTTTTAAAAACAGTTTTCATCTTTGTGAGCTGAGGTACAGTCCTCCTTAGATGAAGTCACTCAGTGGTTTTTCAATATACTCTGGTCATTCCCATCAGCTCCTGCTACTGAAGTCTGAAGAGAGTTATAAAGGGGGAAATAGTCCCACAATCAGATTTAAATTCACTTTGTCATTGGTAATCTTCAGAATTTTTTCAATAATATTGCACCTTTACCACATAAATAGGTCCCTGGACACTTTATTTGTATCACAGTTAACATAGGCTGCATCGTTTTATGTAGAAAAAAAATATACTTGTACTTCCTTCTTCAGGATATAGAACTCTTACTTGTAAGAACACTTAATCAGCCATGGATACGGATTTAGGTCTGTTACTAATAAGAAATACTTCCTGATTTGTCTTTCTGTTTCTTCTCACATAGACGACGGTTTCATTTTTTAAAAATCTTCATTTCAAAAGACCCAAGTGCATTACGGACTTTTTCAGCGACTTATTGAAATTAGGGGCCTAGAACCCACCCACTTGACCCTTGATACACACAGATAATTTCCAAAACTTGAGAGACTTTCAAGGGGAAAAAATACTGATCTCTAAGTTTGTGAACAAGAAGGAAATGTCAATGTGTACTTTAAGCTCTTGGTGCTGCTTATCTCTAAGTGGTGATTATGAACACTCTGCAACAGAAAACTGCTCATGCTATGTAGTCCAAACAGGTATTTTTATAGCATATCCAGTACCCATAACATGCTGTATATCTTAACAGTATTCCTTTTCTATTCTGTTTTCCATTTTGATATTAGAGCCTGACCTTTTGGATGTACTATTAATACTATTATATGCTTACGGTATACACTGTAGTTGTATCATAAGAGGCTTTCAACTATGAGTTTAAAATAATACAAACTAAATTCTGTCAGTGGGAGGGAAATGCTAAGGCATTTTGAGCTTGGAACATTTTAAACATCATCTCTACCATAAGATTGCATCAGTAGAATTAAATTAGTTGATGGAAACTCAACATTTTTCTTAGTGTTGTTGCCATAGAAAAGGTGGCTCACTTCGTAGCTTTCTGAACGTAACTATTTGAGCAGTAGATAGAAATAGAACAAAATAAAGTCCAATTTTAGATTTCAAATGTGTGTATATAAATGTTTTCGCCCCTCCTCAGATACAACCCTTTGTTCTGGAATCTGTTTAGCACGTTTCCCATTTTGTCAACCAAGTAAATAACACTAACACAGTGATATTTCAACTATATTAATAAAATGTTGTTCCCAAAAAACATTGGGATACAGATGGTATCTGAAGTGGTAAGCGCAAGCTGAAAAGGAAAGATGATTTCTGAACCAGTTCAGTTACCGAGAGATGGAGTTTAAAGCCTCTGACTCCAGGCAAGAGACTGATTTCTACCTGCCTGAGTCGTGAGACTAGCCTTTATCCATGAGGTGCAATGATAATACTCTAGAATTGATTTTCCAAGATGTAGAGCATGATGTGTCTTATGGAAATCATCTGCATGGAGAATGATCAGCACCTTGGTGTGTATTTGAAATGACTACTGTCAACCAGTCCTAGATCTGAGTAAGTGAAACCTTCCATGAGAAGCGTCTACTGCACCCTGTGATGCCTAAGTCATGGACAAGCTCGGAAAAGTGTTTCTTGGGTCTTTGCAACTGGATGTGGGACTTCAAAATGTTATGGAAGCAGTCAGCCTTGGTAGTCATTAGTTCACAGTTTCAGCTTTGTAATTTGGTGTATGTCGGGTCGAAGTTGCTTACTCCTGGAAAGCAGTGCTCAGCCTCATTTGAGGCACTCAGATAACCATTTAAATCCATTTCCTTTGCAATCACTGATTATCATATAAAATATACACATGTATATGATTATTTTCATGGGGTTTTAATATATATAAAAATCATTATATTGAAGTCCCTAAATACTGATGCAAAGGGACTATGCATTCAGATGTAGTGCAGGTCATTAGTTGAGTTTTGCAATTGAGCAACACTTCAGCTGTGAACCTCTTTTGGATTAAATGCAACAGCTGTGATTGCCATGTAAGTAACAGATCATCAGACCTAAATTCTTATGTCGCTGAAACTTGGATTGAGTTGTTTATTCGAGTCTCTGAGCTTTATTGTTTGTGCATTTACAAGTTAGATTAAAACAAACAAATAAATTAAAAAAAAAAAAAAAACAAACCAGAAAAATCCCTCAACCTGGCAACTGCAAAAGAATTAAGTTTCATGTTAGAGGAACCTAATTCTTTTCAAACAACTCAAATGAGTTGATGGTAAAACTACCATCAAATTCCATAATGCAAAATTGAAGAGCTTCAGTTCTAATGTCATATGTTTCAGCCAAAAAGATTTGAGTAGGTTTACTGCAGAAGTACCGTATGTAGTTAGAAAAGTCCGGTTATGT